CTTCGGACATATTGTCAGGAGGGACAAGTCACTGCAGAAGGATATCATGTTTGGTAAGGTGGAGGGTCAGAGAAGAAGAGGAAGACCCCCAATGAGATGGATTGGACAGTGAATAAGGAAGACTGTAGAAGAATTGATGCTTTTGAGTTATGATGTTGGAGGAGAATATTGAAAGTGTCATGGGCTGCCAAAAGAACAAACAGATATGTGTTGGAAGAAGTGCAGCCAGAGTGCTCTTTAGAGGCCAGGATGGCCAAACGTCATCTCTCATACTTCGGACATATTATCAGAAGGGACCAGTCACTGGAGAATAATATTATGTTTGGTAAGGAGGAGGGTTAGAGAAAAAGAGGAAGACCCCCAGCGAGGTGGATTGGTAAAATGGCAGCATTAGTGGACTCAAGCGTGGCAACAATTGTTGTGAGTTGGCCCAGGACCAGGCAGTGTTTCATTCTGTTGTGCATAGGGTTGCTATGAGTTGGTACTGACTCGATGGCACCTAACAACAACAACAACATGCCTCTACACCGACTGACTCGAAGGTACTTAAAAACATCAACAACCACTCCCTACTGGAATCCTCATCCAGGACATAACACTCTTCTAGTTTCTTCCTACCTGTTGGCTGCTCCTTGTTAACCTCTTCTTAACCAGACTGCTCAATGTAGGAGGCCACCAACTTTGGACATTCCCCCCCCCCCATCTCTTTCAATTCCACGGTTTTAATCATCAACTACATGCTGATTTCTAATAGTATATCCCCAGCCTCTTCCCTGAATTCCAGACAGTATCTCCATTTGTCCACCTATCTCCACATTTGTTAAGTGCCTTCGAGGTGTTTCTGACTCATAGCTACACAGTATAGATTTTCTGAGGCTTTGAGTATTCACAGGAGCTGAAAGCTTCATCTTTCTCAGAGCAGCTGGTGGCTGGAACCGCGGATCTTATGCTTATCAAACGGAGCCACCACACTCCCTATCTCTATGTAGATGCCTATTTATTAGTCATGTCAGTTCACTTTCTCCAAAAAAGGAGGTTTTAATCTCCCCAAATACCTTGTACATCTGTTTTCCTCCTTGTCGTTATCATATTAGTAAATGGCACCATTTTTGGCTCAAGTTAAAAACCCACACCACATTCTTGAGTTCTTCACCTACCACATCCAATCCATCACTGACACCTCATTGTTTCTACCTCCAAAATGTATTTCTAATCTATTCACTTTCCTCCATCCCCATTCCAATTCCACACCCTAGAGTGAGCAGCCCATTGTGTCTCTCCTGGATTCCCAGTCTTCACTGGAGTAATCTTCACTAGATTTCTACCTTCCACTCTGGCCCCTGTACAGCAAATGGGATCTTTTCAAAAATACAACTCAGAGTTTGCCACTGCCCTAGTTAAAAGTCCTCAATAGCTATGTCTTAAATTTTTCCTTTTAAATTATAGCCTATAATCTTTACCATACATACCCTGAGGCCAACTCCCCTTCATACCAATGGGACCTCAATTCTACCACACTCTTCTTAGCTTACAACTTGTCTATCACACTGGCCTCTTCAGTGTTCTTTGAACACCCCACACTCACTCCTATGTCAGATCTTTACACCTGGTCTTCCCTCTGCATGAAATAGCCTCGCCCCTAGCTGTCTCTTTCTCATCTTTCAGGTTTCAGCTGAAATATATCTCCTCTTCAGATTGGCTTCTCCCTACTATTTTGTTGTTGTTGTTGTTAAGTGCTGTTGAGTCAGTTCCGACCCATAGCAACCCTGTATAGGGTTTCTGAGGAACAGCTGGTGAGCTTGAACTGCCGACCTTGTGGTTCAAACCGGCAAAGTCCAGCGCATTAACCCACACCAAATGGGCTCCCTCACTTACTATTTCAGTATCTTGCTTATTTCCTTATTGAATTTACCTCATCCTGTTGTTATACTTTTCATTTGATTAGTTACCTGTCCATTCTCTTTCACAGCTTTATGATGGCAGGGACCACACCTTCCAGGTTCATGGCTAGCTCCTTTGTGTTTAGAACATTGATACATGGTAGACTTTCAATACATTATTTTTGAATGAATAAATCAATAAATAATTAAACCATTCTCCCAAGTCTTGGCCTCTATCTCTTCATATCTCTTAAAACTGTCCCTCCTATAAGGACTGCTCTGGCTCAAGCCCCATCAGTTCCTACCCTGGATTTCTATAACAGTCTCCTACTCAGTAGACCTCCTTGTCTTTTTCCCATGCATCACTCCATTCTTCACACAACAGCCATGAAAGTGAGATTTTAAAACGAAAATGGAATCATGTTACACCCTGATTTAACTCTCTAGTGGCTCACAGTTAATTGCAGGAGTAATTTCAAATCCCTTCATGTCTCTGGCTCCTTCGGGCTCCTGGTCAGCATCTCTGCTCATTCCACTCCCACCCCAACCAAGCATTATGACCACCCAGAAACTGTCTACAGTTCCTCTAACAAATCAGGATGTTCTATGTTTCTTTTTTGTATATGATGTTCTTTCTTCAGAATTTTCCCCACTCCTCTATTCAGCTTACATCACTAGAATACAATCCAGTTACTCTCGCCCCTCTTCTGGGAACTGGCTCTCACCACAAGCTGAGCTGTGTACTGCTTAATCATAGCTCTTCTCAGGACTTGCTTAGCCTCCTGCTGGCTGACTAGCTCTCCAAGGCCCGGCCCTGGTCTTGTGGAGCGTGGTCAAACGGATGCTACTAGACAGGTAATTTAGTAGAGAGGTTAAGGATACACACTGGAGTCAGGCAAGGTTTGAATCCTAGTTCCGCTACATACCAATCAAGTAACCTTAAACATGTCATTTTATATCTGGATAAGAGATGGAAAGCACCTCATTTTTGGAAGCACTCAGCACGCTTTGCTGATTGATTAAATGGCACAGATACAAAACATCCTATCCATTACTTCCATGCAAAAGTCTTCAGTGGTTTCCCATTTCTCTGAGTTTAAAATGTTGTCATTTCAGTATAGCTTTACAATGCTGTCCTTACACTGAGTTGTCTGTCCCTCCAATCTGGCCTCCCTACAAACACGTAACACACATCATGACATTCCTCATTGTCTTGCCCCCTTTCTCCTGGTTTTGGTGCCCTTCCTCTGTGAATTCACCTCATATGTAACATGTGATCTTTTCCTGGTGTGGTGCTATAGGATCAGCACTGGATTGTTGTTCAAAGTTGGCAGTTCAAATCCACCAGCTAACTACTCCTTGAAAACCTATATAGGGTGGGTATGAGTTGTAACCGAGCAGTTCAAATCCACCAGTTACTCCTCGAAAGCCCATATAGGGTGGCTATGAGTCGTAACCAACTCAACAACCCTTAATAACAACAACAGTCTCATTTATTTCTCATGGTGTGGCGCTGTGGGTTAATGCACCATACTGCAAAGCCGTTTGAACTACAAGGTCAGCTGTTTAAGATCACCAGCTGCTCCTCAGAAACCCTATACTGGGTAGGTATGGGTCAGAGCCGACTCGATGGCACCATTGTTCTGTTGAGGCATGGGGAAGGGTTGACCCTGAGAACTGGGGCGGAAGGGTGCAGTAGACTCATCACTCTGTCTACTTTACACAGAGTGTAAAATGGTTTTGTTGTTGTTGTTGGTAAATGCCGTTGAGTTTAATGCCAAGGAGCAGCTGGTGGGTTTGAACTGATGGCCTTGTGGTTCCCAGTCCTGTGTTGACCCTACAGCACCACGCCATAAGTCCAAAATGGGTGTTGTTGGTAAGTGCCGTCGAGTTAATTCTGACCCATAGTGACCCTGTATAGGGTTTCCAAGGAGCAGCTGGTGAGCTTGCAGTTCAAATGACTTTGCAGTCTGACACATTAGCCCACAGCGCCACACCAGGACTCCAAAATGGGTGTAGGGGTCTGGTAACGTAGTGGTTACAAGTCGGGCTGCCAATTTCAAGGTCAGCAGTTCGAAACTACCAGCCGTTCCATGGGAGAAAGATGAGGTGTTCTGCTCCCGTAAAGATTTACAGCCTCAGAAACCCTGTGCAGGGTCACTGTGAGTCGGAACCGACTCCACTGTACTTAACAACAACAACAACTTTCTAGTCTGGTCTCCTCTTCTGAAGGGAAGTGCCACACCCTACACTCTACTTTTCAGCAGGGTGTCAAGTCTGCGAGAGAATACTGCTGGGTAGGGGTATTGGTGGGTTTCAGATATGGGAACCAGAGAAGGAAACAGCTCTGAGTGATGCCACACTAAGGATTGCGTTTGGGGACCTCTGAGAGGCAGAGGTGACTCCCCCAAAGAGAATCCGGAGTTCAGACTGTCAGCTCCAGGCTTTTCCGTTATATGAGACCCTTAGGGTCTGAGTTCCAGAACCGACCCCGCCCGGAGTTTTCAGGGAGAACAGAAGTAGTGTCGCCACTGTCCCAGGTCGGAGAGAAAAGAAGCGGAGCTGCTTGGTGCCCCATCTCTGGACCGTCCAGGGAAGCCCCTCCAGTCCGGCAACCGCAGCTCGCTCTTCTCAGAAGACCTCAAAATGGACCAGCAGTCAGCGCCTCGTTAGCTCCTTCTGTTCCACCCCACCCCGGTTCCGCCCACCCCGATTCCGCCCCCGAGCCCCGCCCGCACCCTCGCCTCCGCCTCTGGGCCGGAAGCCACCTCTCTTCCGCCCTCCCCTTCACCTCATCCTTTACCCCCTCCCAGTCCTCCTCCCTCCGCAAGTCCGGGAAACCTTTCTCCCCTCCGGCTCCTCCCACAGCCCCTGCCCCACCCACTTCCCGCCCCTGTCCGGGCCTCTCGGCCCCGCTATTCCCCTCTTCTGGCTCCGCCCCTGGCCACCGGAAGGCAGTCCCCGCCCTCGGCCCCGCCTCCCCGAAGTTTCTTGGGCCCTCAGGCGGCTGGCGGGACAGAATCTAGAGAGCCGCCGCCCGGCTGGCAGTGGATGGAGGTGGCGGAGCTCGCACGGCGCGGCGAGTGAGCGGCGGAGTGACCGGCCCTCAGTGGATTCACTATGGATGAGGAGGTGAAGACCGGCCTAGAAGGGGGTGGAGGGAAGCTGGGCTGGGGTCTTTTAGTCTTTTACTGTTGTTAGGGACCTGGGCTCAGGCCCTTGGCCCTGCCCACCCCACTCCCAATGGTCTAGGAACCACCAACCCCTAGACAGAGCTTCATCCTTCTTCATTATCTCTTAGGCTTCACTCACCAACCATGGGAAGTCTTGGTTGTTATTGTTCCTATTGGACTAACGGGGATAATGAAGCGAGTTTGGTGACTTACTCAAAGTAGTATAGAGAGCTGGACTCGAGCCCAGATTATAATTGAATCTCCCCTTACCCCCACCCATCAGGTTAGATCGGCAGGGTGTGTGTGTGTGTGTTGTGTGTATGGGGGATGTCTGTGGGTTCTGGGGTTCCTGTCCCAAAGAATTTGAGGCAGTATTGTGCCCAATCGTGGAAGAGCTCAAGGTTTCAGTTTTCTACCCCGCATAAGTCCCTGTGAGTCCCTTTTCCCCCTACCCTGTCCTCCCCGCCCCACATCTTCTGTCTAAGCTTTTCTTTGGAGTCAGGTCTGCACCAGGGCTGATCCTCGTCCCTGCCTTCCCTGCCAGGGAGGGAGAGAGACCTCCAGAAGGAGCTGGGCTTCTGGACTTGCCCCTTGAGCCTCCTTATACCACCTCAAGACACTATAGTGTAGGGTGGGGTCAGAAGCTCTGTGTACCCTGCTCTCTCCTTGCAAACCTACTTCTCCCGGCAGACCTATCCAAGGGTCCAGCACACACGTTGTGGTTTTGTGTCATCCAGTTAGTTCTGACTCAGTAATCCTGTATAGGGTTTCTGAGGAGCGGCTGGCAAGTTTGAACCACCAACCTTATAGTTAGCAGTCCAGTGCTTATCCTACAGTGCCACACATGGACTTCCAATACACTTAATCCATGACTGTGAAATGAATACATTAGAATGAGGATGGGGGCGGGTGTGCTGACTTTGCTTCTTATCCCCTCAGAGGGTCCCAGATTCTCTTTCAACCCAAGGGAAGGAGAGGGATCTATGCCTGGATGGGTGGGGAGAAAAGGTGAATTCTTCCCTCTTGGGATGGGCTGGGCCAGCTGGGGATCCCTTAGTGGACCAGGCTGCCAGTGTTCCTGTCAGAACCCACCTCCCTACTTCCTGAGGCCACTGCTGACTGAATGTCAGCTTTCCCTCTAGGCCAGGCCCTGCATTGCTGAGGGACGGTAGATAAGTCACTTCCCCTCTCGGCCTGCATTTCCTCTTCTATTTATAAAATATAGGGCCTAGTCTTCTCTCTGGGTTCTGACAATATGATTGTGGCCCCTTCTCTCAGACTGGATGGAGGTAGGTAGCAAAGTCAGGCCAACTAGGATTTGCTGTGGGTTGTATTTTTTTTTTGCCAACAGGGCTGTCCCCCAGCCTCTGCTGCTTTGAGGGCCGGGCTCTCTGCCTGTGGCTCCTCCCTTGCTCCCAGAGGATGTGGGCCCGGATTACTCCATTTCCCTGTCTATTCTGGCCCCCAATTAAGAGAAGTTCTTCTGGGCCAGTGGTTTGTCCATGGCCAGCCCAGCCCTACTCACTCTCTTTGGTCCAGAGTCTCTAACCTTACCACTTAATGACTCCCAGATCCCCAAAGCTCTTGGCATACCTGGGGCATCTGTGGTCTTAACATCCTGCACCCCTGCCCCAGCCTCACCCACACAGCCAGGATTCTCTAGTGCCTGTCTCTCCTTTGACATCCCTAGCTCTCCTTTCTCCCCATCTTCTCTTTCAATAGCTTCCCCTTGTTTCTCTGGACCTCAACTCCCATAAACACCTGTTAGATCATAGTCACCTGCTCTGTCCCATGACCCCAGGCCCAGGAAGGCCTCATATATCACCTCACTCCCAAACTGGCTGCTTTCAGCCTCCCCCTGGCTTAAGCTTCTTTCCCCTGCATGCCAAGCCTCCTTAGGCTCAGTGACATCCTCTGTTCAATGGGCTGGTAGTCCCCATCAAACTAAGGCTTCGTGAAGTAGCGCTGGTCTTAACATCTGCCCACCTGGGTTCTCAGGGCTTTGGTTTCCCTATCTGTAAAGTGAGGGGAGAGTATGATCTCAAAATGTGAGCTTCAAAAACTGTAAGTATCCACTTTGAGTATTATTGCTACCCCTGGAGTAATGTTGAAAACTCTGCTCTTGGGGTTTCCCTGTCTCTACCCTGGGTTTCGGCCCACCTGCTGTCTCATAGTCCTGCCGGCTTCACCTTGGGTGACTCCAGGCTGCCCATTTGCCCTACCCTAGAGGTGGCAGGGCATGTCTTGTGGCAGCACTGGTTTTATGACCTCAGGCTTTAATCCTTTTCCCTCTCTGAATCTGGCTGTCTTGTTCTATAGTGAAAGGGTTGAGAGTTTAGGGTCTTTTCCTTCCTCTTCTGGGCCAAGATGTTCGTCTGATCTTCTTATATTCCTACCGTACCCTACTTTCTGTAGGGGCTTCCTATGTCTTTATCCTCCCTGAGAGCTAGGAGTGGGAGATTCCTCAGTATAGGTCCTATGTTTCTCCCAACAGGGACCTTCTCAAGCAGGGACTGCTCATCCGCCTACCAGATTGGGGACTTCTATTGAGCAGGGTCTATAACCCCCTCATCAGACTGGAAGTTCTACCTGGGCAGAACCCATGCTGCCTTTCTCTTATTGCCATGCCACAGGGCTCAGACATGGCAGGTTCTTAGTAGAATTTTGTCTGAGCATCCCTGGGTTTAGTTTCCTGTGATGTGAGGTGCTGACTAGCCAACAAGATTTCTTCTGCTGTTCTGTCTCTCTGTCATGGTCTGCGTTGTATGCTGGACCTTTCCACCCATGTTTCAGAGTTACCTAGCTTTGTTTTTTTTTTTTTTTAATTTATAATGGATGACCCAGAGACCCTTCCACCTCAGGCAAAGCGGAGCCAGGCTGGTACCCTAAGGGTGCCTCAGGAATTCCTCACAGTGGGCATGGAAGGCCTGGGTGAGGATGGGAGGGGAGAGGGCAAAATGGGGAGAACAGTGGTCAGCTGGTCGGTAAGAGAAGAGACTGAAAAACTGGGCTGAGAAGGACAAAACCTCTCCTGTGAGCCTTGCCAAGGGGAGGGACCAATTATTAAAACTTACTGGGGTAGAGCTAGGTCCTGGTGGGAGGGGTCCTGAGGGGCAAGGAGAGGGGCTGGGTGGAGGATGGCAGACACACACAATCCTAGCCTCCAGCCAGGCCTCCCACAGGGTGGCTGCTTCTGTGGGTCATTCCTGACAAGAAAACCCTTCCCTGAGCTTTGGTTCATGCCACCTCTAGCTCCTCAGTCACCATCCCCCATCTCAATCCCAAAGCTTCCGGCCTCAGCCTTGCCTGGGCCCCACCAGCCCTAGGCCTGCATTTCCAGCTGATCCAGTCATAGTGGTCTTTGGACCTGCTCTGCTAGGCCAGAGAGAACAGTGGTCGAGACACAAGGTTCCGCCTTACACCCTGGGAACTTCATGTGGCAGACGGTGGGGTAGGCAGGGGTCGGAAGCAGAGGGAATTTAGAAAAGAGGTGTGAGACCCCAAGGAGTAGCGGGTAGACCGCCTGAGAAGCAGGAGGCAAGCCTGGAACTGAAAGGTGGGAGATTCCAGCAACAGCTCCACACTTCACAGCCCTTAGAAGTCTGCTCATTCAGGCTCCAGCAGGCCTAGGACGTGGCCAATGGTGCTACCTCCAGTTCTGCCCATAGAAGGGATGTGCGTGTCAAGTGTGGGTGTGAGGGTTCCCATTTCTCAGTTTTGTTCTTCTAACCCTGGGCCTGTAACAGCCTTTAGGGGACTACTGAGAGGGTGAACCTCTGGACATCACACAGCTCATTGGGAGCTGAACACAGGGAAAGGCAGTGGGTACAGGGACAGGATGTGAGAGCCCCCTTTCCCCTTACCAAGAGACCTTGAAATGAAGCCCCTTCTTCCTCCAGACAGAGAGGCTCAGAACTGACTAGTACAGGCCTCTCACTTCTGCATTCCTGCATCTGGGAAGGCCATTTGGGACCATCCCATTTCTCCATTTCTCTTGCCATCTACAAGTCAGGAGAGACCCTAAGGGGCAGTCCACATTCCTGAAGCTCCTAGAACACTGAGGCCCAGTATCTATGGCCCAGAAGGACCTTGCTCTGAATTCTGAACCCTGCCAGGGAGAAGGTCCTTGAGAACCAGAGAGGATGGTAGTGACAGCAATGGCAACAATAACGAGGGCTCCCATTGGCTGATTGAGGATATACGAGACGCCACGTGTCTTGTCTTCTTTATTCAGTAGCATTTACTCAGCATCTACTATGTACCAGGCATTGCTTTAGGCACTGGGGACACAGCAGCAGTAAATAAAACCAACAGCTCTGTTGTTACTGTTAGTGTCCCCATTTCACAAATGAAGAAACTGAGGCTTAGAGGGGTTAAGTGTCTTCTTTCTGTTCTGTATGATTTTGGATTCAAAGACCAGTCTCCTAACTACCCAATTTTGTAGCTCAAAATGAGAACCAGTCTGTGCCTCCCCTGCCATGATGAAGAGCAGAGAGGCCTGCCCGGCCCAGCCCCTGACAGCTCACCACACCTATATCTGCCTAGGCTTGTCCTTAGGTAGCTGTGGCCATAGGGTGTCCCTGGGTAGAGGTGTGTCTCTTTTGACAGGGCCCCCCTTTTCACTTTTATGTAAATTATAAAGTATTCAAAATTAGTCAGTGCTGATTTCCTTTTAGAATCCTCTAGATTTTGACACCCTCTTGGTCTCCTTTCCTCTTCCCTCCCCGCCACACTTACTAGTTGTGGGTTGGAGGGGTGGTTACCAGTCTCTGAAGTGAACTATTTAGAAAATTGGGTGTATATTTTCATTTCACAGATACTTCTTGAGCATTTATTATGTGTAAGAGAACTGTGCTGGGGACTCAGAGGCAGTCTGGCCCCATGTGGTAGGCTAGCATGGAGGAGGCAGAGGATGTCAGAGACTTCCCTTGTTTACAAAGGCCTGAGTTCAAAGCCTCTACCAGCCTGTGGACAAAGGCAAAGAACCCTTGGAACCCTCACCAGATAGGTTTTTGTCTCTCGGGGTGGCCACCCTGAAGTCCTGGCCTGGGCTGGGATGGGGGCCGGACGCAGGGACTGCAGAGTGGGTTCTCTAGCAGGGTGGGAGTAGAGAGGACAATTACCATTTAGCTGGCCTGCTACTTCCATCTCTCTGCGCCCTGTGTAAATATCACCTCCTCCTGGACTACCCAGGCCTGAACTAGGTCCCTTCCTATTCTCTCTTGCTGCCTGCTGTGAAATGGTGACATTTCACGATTGCTAATGTGCTTATGGAGTCCTGGTGTGATGCTGTAGGTTAATGTGCTGGACTGCAAAGTCAGTTGGAACCACAAGGTCGGCGGTTCAAGGTCACCAGCCACTCTTCAGAAACGCTATACAGGGTTGCTATGGGTCAGAATAGACTTGATGGCACTTAACAACAACAATGTGCTTATTGATTTCGGGTATGGCGCTGTATGATAACAGTGAACCGCTAACCACAAGGTCGGCAGTTAAAACCCACTAGTTGCTCCTCAGAAACCCTGTGTAGGGTTGCTATGAGTTGGAACCGACGGCACTTAACAACAACAACAGTGTGCTTATGTCTGGTGTTTACTTGTTCAGCTCTTCTTCCCTGCCATTATGAACCCCTTGAGGGCAGAGATTATGTTGTTCTTACTTACTTCTGCCTAGCCCAGCGCATATGACGCTGTAGGTGTTCACTACAATGTTTGGTGACTGGGTGAGTGAACACATGACTGGACATTAAGGAAGCGGGAAGAAAGTGAAATCCAGAGAAACCTGATGTAAAATTCGGACTCAGTCCCTCCTGCTGTGTGACTCTGGGCAAGTCATTTCTTCTCTCTGAGGCTCAGTTTGCTGTGCTGTGAGGATGATGATAATGACACTGTCTCAGGGGCAGGTAGTCCTACAGGCTTGATGGTGTAAAACTAAACACAGTGGCTCAATGTAAGGTGGCTGCTGCTTGGACTACACCAGTTTCTGCTATTATTATTGTTACTGAATTAAGAATACTTGACTTGGGAGTTGTGGGGTGATGTCAGCAGGTACCCTGTGTAGCTTGTGGATCTGTGGCCCTTTGGCAGCAGCCCTCATGACGTGTCCTGGTACTGGCTTGCAGGGCGTGAAGGAGGGGAGTGAGAAGCCTCGGGGAGCAAGGACAGCGGACAAGGCTGGCTGGATCAAGAAGAGTGGCGGAGGCCTCCTGAGTCTCTGGAAAGACCGCTACCTGCTTCTCTGCCAGGCCCAACTACTGGTCTATGAGAACGAGGTGAGTCCCTGACTGGCCCTGAGATTTGGGGGTTCTGGGACTAAGGGCAAAGTGGAGGTAATCCAGGCCCTCAGGAGTAAGTAGCCTGGGACTAGGACTGGAAGACCTGTTCCACCTTTAACACACTGTGCAACTTTGGATAAGTGTCTTTCTCTGGGTTTCCGTTGGCAATATAGGGTCAGTGTATCTAGGGGAAAGTAGAGGTAGAGTGAGAGGTTCTTTGAACCATGTGTGCATTTGAATGTATGTTAGTTTCTTCAGCTGTATACCCCCACATTGTAGCGCCTGTCACTGGACAAGGTTCCGCATAAATGAATGTGCCAGAAAACCTAAGCTTGTCCCATTCAGCAGTGGTAGTAGAATTAATAACTAGTGTTAATACTTGTTTGGGATTCTTACATACCTCTAATTTGACATTCATAACAGTCCCATAAGAATGGACATTATAGTACGTTTTAAGAAGAGGACCAGGAGTGGGGGTGGGGACGCAAGATGCTTCTTGAGCATCTCAGTGAATGGAAGAGTCTGGTCTAGCACCAAATCCAGGGCTCCTTTCATGAAGTAAAAGCTCCAAGACTACTTTTGGTGGAACTCCTTTAAAATATGTTAAATATTTTCTGTCTTCTTCAACAGAAGGTAAGTTGGTGGCTCAGAGAGTATTCCATACTGTTGGCCTGTACTTTTCAGCTCTTCTTTCTCGAACTCTTACCATCAAGATGCCGGGAGCTACTTCTCTTGTCCTCATGCTTGTGACAGCCTTTGCATCTTCCCCCTTCAGACTTTGATGATGCTCCTAGTTTTCAGCAGGTTTGGAACTCAAACAATAAGGATGTTACAGTTGTGTGATAAGTAAGAGTTAGTAAAGAAACCAAGGAGAAAAATACATTCATTTGCTATGGGATTTTGTGACTTTTTGTTGGCTTTTACTTGTAGATGTGGTTTGTCTTAGGGGGTTGAAGCTATCAAAGGGCCTCTTTGGTGGTTGAGGCTATCAAAGGGCTACCTACTAAAAATAGGGTTATCAAACACCTAGAAATACATGTTTGACAGATAAAATACATGGAAAAGAACTGACCTAGGGCCAGAAGGAGACGGTGCCTGCTTCTCTTCCCCATCAACCTCTCTCAATGTGCCTTGTGGTATCTTGGCAACTCCAGAATTGTCCCAGACCAAGAAAATTGGGTAACCTGGATGGGAGTATTAAAAGGAGCTGCCTTTGAGAGAACTCTGCCTATCCTGCCCTACTCCATGAAATGAGGGAAGAACAGGGGATGAGGGTGTGCAAACAGACAGCCCCCAGATGTTCTATATTGCTGCTGTCACCAAATTAGGATGTACCACATTTGGTAATGTGGCAGCAGGGGGATATTTTTATAGATAAAGGGAGTTATCACAGCTTCCTCCAGCCCCCACTGCTATAAGAGTGAGTGACAGGCCCCCCAGCTGTCGCCCTGTCAGGCACTGGTCCTGGACCGCCTTACCACATCTGGTTACTGCTAAGAAGCAGGAAGGATTTCACATCCCCCAAACATGAAAAATCCAAATCACATTTGGAAAAAAAAAAGATCACTATTTAAAAAACCGAAATGCAGTTTCAAGAACTTAGCACTTGGGGTGGGGGAGCTTGGCCCAGGAGTAAGAATTGAGAAATGCTTATTAGTTCAATTCCTCTTTCTGATGTAAGGAACTAGGCGAGTGTGTGCAGCTCTTGGCTCTGTCTTTACTGTCAGAAAAGCTGACATTCCAAAGATGTTGCCCCCGCCCAGTGCCTGCTGGTTTATGCGTTTTTTTTCTCAGCTGCAGAAGGGCCAGGATGATTCAGCATTTCTGGTGGAGAGGGAGACCCAGGACAGGCAGCTGTGGGGAGCTGGTGTCTGGTGGTGGGGATGGACTGAGGGGTGATTTTGGACTGGTGGTTGCCCACTTCAGGAGGGCCTGCAGACATGGAAAAGTGAGTTACTGCTCTTTGGACAGAAGATCCATCCCCAGGCAGCTTCCTTTCTCTGGATGTCCAGGTAGGGGGTACTTCCTGGGGTCTCACTCTGTGCCAGACATTCATTCCAGCAAATTGGAGACTGCCCTGTGCAGGGCGCTGTCGGCAGACACACCCAGCACAGGGTAGAGAGAGAAGGTCAAGCAAGGAGTTAGCACTGTGTTTCCCTGGGGTAGGGCTCTGTCCCTGACACCTGCTAGGGTGCCTGCTACTGGCAGGTTTGTGTGCTCTCAACAGTAAGTGATGGGGGTCTTCACAGGAGAGAGGGAGAGCAGCAAGACTCTGGGGCTCAGGGAGTGTGGTCAGGGGAGCTTCCTGGAGCAAGTGGATTTTACTGGCCCTTGTGTTCAGTGGAGAAACTTGGAGGGGGTTGGAGAATAGGGGCTAGAAACAGATATGGAAGCGAAAATGGGGAACTCCACCTGAATAAATGTGGATGGGAAAGACCAGGTTGCCAAGGGACTAAAGAGACTGTGTTGCTGTTAGTGCCGTCGAGTTAGCCTCCAACTCCTGGTGAGCCCATGCACAACCAGATGAGACCATTGTGATGTCATAGGGTGTTTCATTGACTGATTTTCAGAGATAGATCTCCAGACCTTTCTTTCTAGAAACTCCACTGAAACGTGTTCAGTATCCTAGCAGCATGCAAGCCTCCATTGACAGAAGATGGTGGCTGTGCATGAGGTACATTGACCGGAAATCAAACCCAGGTCTCCCACATGGAAGGTGAGACTTCTGCTGCTGAACTTTGCTGCCCTTGAAGAGAGCATAGATTAGTGGTTGTCTACCTTGACTGTTCTATGGGAGAAAGATGAGGCTTTCTGCTCTCGTAAAGATTTACAGCTTTGGAAACCCTGTACGGGGTCACTATAAGTCGGAACTGACTCCACGGCACATAACCACCACAACCACCTTGGCTGTACAATCTTCTGGGGAGTTTTAAAATCTATTATTGTCTGGACCCCACCTCCAGAAATCCCAGTGTAATTGGTCTGGGATATTGCTTGGGCATTAGGATTTTTAGAAGTTCCCAAACGCCATCAAAGTTGAGGACCATTGATAATAGAATTGTCTGGGGGATTGTTGAAACACAGATCCCAGACCCATTCCCCCAAGTTTATGAGTTAGTAGGAATGGAAATCTGAAAATTTACATTTCTTTCTTTTTTTAACTTATCATTGGGCACTGAGTGAACGTAAATGTACGTTTACATTTCTAACGACTTCCCAGGGGATGCTGGTGCTGTTGGTTTAAGAACTATTATGTAGAGCACCTTCTTGATGACGTGCTGATTTGAAAGCACTCACTAAGTGTCAGGTTCTCAGTACATTCAGATTAACCTGGAGGGAAATTAGGGTATTTTCTCAGCAAATAGTCAAGACCCTACCTCCTAAACTGCAGAGCCTGGATGCTGCCAGGGTGAGTGCTCTCGCTGATTCTCTTGCATGTTGTCCAGTGACTGGGTGGGGTTTTCATAGTTTGTTTGTGTGGGTCAGGGCAGCGAACCCCCCTAAAAGGGCCTGCTTCTTAAGTTAGCATGTATTATAAGTTGTTACAATGTGGTCTTCCCTGGAAAGTCAAGCAATTGACCAACATTGAGAGGGAGTTTGTCCCTGGCAACTTGTTGGAGAGGTCTACTAGTTTGAGCCATGGATAAAACTCTCCAGCCTTGGGACTGCTGGGTAGGAAGGTGGTCTGGTCAGTGTCCAGGAACAGCTAGGGGTGTTCTTGAGGAAGCCCTTTTCTCTCTTAACGCGTGACCTACAGACTGGGGTAAGGAGCTGCTCTTCCATACGAGGGTGAGAGTCAGGGTCAACAGAGGACGATACCAAGTAGGAGAGCCAGCTTGTGAAGGCAAGGCATGGAGTCCCAAACATCCCTTGATTTTGCTTCCTTCTGTAGCCTGGACTTTTCCTTTTTTCCTACTTGGTGACATCCTGCTCCCTCCTTCAGGCTACTCTTTTTTTGGGTGTGTGACAGTTTACTTTTATTTTATTTTTTATGTTTTATTGTGAATTATATGATAGTTTACACAGAAGAACATTAGTTTTACATTCATCCTATTGTATATCGTTTCATTGCCATAGTTACAATCCCCTCCATGCGTCATCAACCAACCAAAGGGTACATCCTGAAAGCCTGCCCCCCGGTCCTCAGCACACAGCCCCTCTCCCTCTCTGGGTCTAAAATCCGCAGCTGCTCCATCTTTCCACGTCATTGTCTCTGCCTCCATCTCTGGCATCACTGCCTCTCGGGGTGGGGTCCCGCTCTCCGCTCTTCTCCCTTGATGGTCCCAGGGACCTTCGCTCCTAGACTGCAAAGTTAATCATTCCCCTCCTTGCTACAGAACCTCTCCCTTTACATTTCCAACCCTCACAATCAGTCCTGATAACAATTATTCACTATTGTATCACAAGAGAACTATCTGCATTTCTTTAATCAGCCCCACCTAGACAGATTGGATACTACTCAGTGGAGATTCTACCTTCCTCCACGCCTTCTGCATCTAGGTTCCCTCTTGAAAGCTTGTAAACCAGTCATGTCTTGCCTTTGTAGCCCCCACTTTGGGTAGCCAATGTCCAAGTTGCCCATCCCTGTCTATTCTGTGTATGGAGAGGGTGGGAATGATCTTTGCTGTAAAGATTTGTTGCCTCTTTTGAGCTACTGCATCCATAGGTGTAGGTCAAATTCATCAAATTGTATCAGATTACTCTTTTTTTCCTCTTCTTTCTTTCTTCTAGTTGAGCTCTGATCATCCAGTCATTGAAGCCAGGTCAAGTGGGTATTATCTGCAAGTGTGGGTGTTCTTGAGGCATATGCCCTTTCTTCTTATCAGCTGGATGCTTCACTCTCCACTCTAGTCCTCTGTGGCTATGTCACTGACTCTGGGCCCAAGAGTCCCCAGGTCTTGCCATATTGCTGGCCAACCAGGTCTTCACCCAGGTTCACAGGAGTCTATTGAATGTTGTAGGGCTTAGCTTGCAGCTTCATTACTGTTTTTCCCTCACTTTCCCTTATCAGTGATGAGCATGGTCACCAACCAGAGTGTGTATTCCCATTGAGTCTTAGTCTTGGAAGGTGGTTTGCTCTGAGGGGACCTGACCACTTGCCTTGATGTCTCCTGGGCAAGCAACTTGCTTGTTCTTGTAGTAATCAGTCGGTCTGTTCAGGCTACTCTTGCACACACCTGTGCCCGGCATTTGGGCCTGCATGGGTCCCCACTCCCCCCTTTTGAGCCTCTGCAGCATCTCCCTCTGTTTCCTCCTCTGGCCTTACGCACGCTTGACTGGGACCTGCCTCCAGGATATGTGTACATGTTTCATTTGGATGGCAAGTCTGGAGCACAGTCCTCCAGCTGGCATGTACTAAGCACCAACCCCCGGAATACCGAACCTTAGTGATTGAGTGACATCCTGAGCCCCCACCCCTGACTGGGATGCCCTCAGCTGAACAGTAGAGTCTGGGGTGTGGCCTGGGTGACTAAGGGTCTGGGAGCAGCTGGCTCTTACCAGCCCATATCCCCTCTGTCTCCTTCCCCAGGATGAACAGAAGTGTGTGGAGACAGTGGAGCTGGGCAGTTATGAGAAGTGCCAGGACCTTCGTGCGCTCCTCAAGCGGAAACATCGCTTTATCCTGCTGCGATCCCCAGGGAACAAGGTAGGGGGTTGCCCACTGCTGCCTCACCTCGCTCCAGGCCAGTGTGCTTGGAAGATCACCCTGGAAGGTTCAGACCCAGGGGCTGGCCCAGGTGGGACTTTATTTGTTTTGTCTTGGGACCTCCCCAGCCCCTGGTTGATGAGATGCACTTAGGCTCTGCTGAGAGAGCTCTGCTCCCTTCTCTCCATCCCAGGGTTCGGGGCCTCTTTCCCAGGCTGCAGTTAGAAGTAACAGTGAGGATGAGGAGGGCTATGGGTGAGCCTCCATCCTCCTGGCTCTGACATCCTGACACAAGCTGGGGCAACTGGTGAATGTAGCCCATTCTTCAATCCAGGCCTTTCTGGGTGGACCACCCTTTTGCCCCCATTCTGCAACCCCCCCAGCTTTCCTCTCTGCACTTTTCTGTCTTTGCTGAGGCTGAAGAAAGTGTCTTGCCTGTGAGGTTCTTTCCCTGTGACGTGCTGTGTATACAGATTATAAGTTTGCTATTTGAACCACATTTCTCTGGTGAGGAGTCCCAGTGGGTGTTGACACATGGTGTCATTTCACAGATGGTGGGAGGGGGGCATTGAGATTCTGAGGCTGATGTGTACAGCACCTCCTGCCAGCTCGCACCCATCTGCAGCTGAGCCACACCACGCACCGCCCCGACCTCTGCTGGTCATGTGGAGCCTGGAAGCGTGGGGCTGAGTCACAGGCTGGGGGTTGGGTAGTGGGTCTGAGTCTGGGCCTGCTGGAGGCAATCCTGTTTCTCCTCTAACTTTAGGGGTTTGGAACCCAGTCCTTAACTGAGCAACCAAAACAGCAGTGAGAGGCTGTAGAGCTCTGTGACTTCTCTGCATCTTCTCAAGATGTCACGCCCTAATGGGGATATTGGGAAATGTGCTGTAGAATCAGGGAGGACTTCTGGTGTTAAGAAGGTTCATGGTACTGAACCCAGGTTTCACTTGATATCTGCTGTGTGGGGCACTTTAAGAAAGAGGAGAGCCATATTTTGGACTTTCCTGCTCAGAAGCCCCTGTGCTGCCCTGGAGACCTGATTCCTTCTGTGTGGAGCTTGTGCTAGGTGCTGAGTTTGAGAGGCAGGGTGCATCATGGGAGTGCACTCTGGCCTCTCTTTATGTTAAGGGGTGTGTTGGCCTCGTGAATCTTTCTGGGTCCTTGTGTGTCTCTTAGTGACTGATATGGATGTGAGGCAGAGGGACCTTGCCTCTCTGTCCTCTGCCCATGCTGTTCTGGGGGGCTGCCTCCCTTCTCCAGCTATGAAAATCAGCTGCTGGTGGTGGTGGGCTAGGTGGACCAGGCAGGCTCAGGGTGGAACCTTCCTAGTGACCTGTTTGTGCAGCTGCATTCTCTATTACTTCAGCCAATACCCTTCCCCTCCCCCAGCACTGCCAAGAGTTCAGGTTGTTGTTAAGTGTCTTCGAGTCCGTGCCAAATCATAGTGACCCTGTATAGAGTTTCTGAGGAGTGGTTGATGAGTTTGAATATTTGACCTTGTGGTTCAAACAGACCTGTGGTCTAGTGCTTATCCTATAGCACCATAGCCCTGGGCAACTCTGGGAATAGAACAATCAATTGGGAATATTGGATTGTGGGGACAGCCGGTAGTGAGAAGTTCCCCTGACCCTCATCACCCCTGCAAGCTCCACCAGAGGGTAGGGGCTCTCCAGAGGTCAGATGGCAGACTGTCCCAGACCAATGTCTCACCCTTACCCTCAGTTCCCATCGCTCTGGGTGTTCCCCATCCTCAGCAAGGCATCCAGTCAGCCAAGAGGTCATGTGACCCTGGCCGGCTGGTCCTGAGGCTGCCTTTTTTCCCCCTCTAATCAAATAAACAAAGACTCCAGTGTCTTACATGCCCCTTCTCCCCCTGCTTCTCTATCCCCACACCCCTGCCCATGAGGTCACAGGCAGATGCTGCCAGGAAGCAGGGTGGCTGGGGCTGGGCCTTGCTACCTCACTGGTCTGGCCAGCTTGGCCTTTTCCTTTTCCTCTTCTCTCACTCCTCTCTCCCCTCCCACTTTTCCCCTCTTTGTCATTTGTCCTCTCCTTTTCCGTAGGCCACATGCTGCTATCTTTTAAACTCCCTTTGAATCCTCTGTGGCTCTTCAGGGCATGATGGTGGATGGAGTGTGGCCTGAGGAGAGACTGCTTATATTCTTTTTTTTTTTTTT